ACAAACATTTATTTGATAAAAAAAATTCAATAATCACGAATTATCAACAAATATTGAGACAAAATGTTCTTTTGTATCTCTTCATTTTATTTTACCTTCCGTTCAGAAAAAAAAAGATGTAAATTGTAGAAAAGGTGATCTCAAACGTTGATGTGCTAGTATTAGGATGAGAAGTATAGACTGATAGTCACTGTAAAGAATATAATTGGTTTAAATAAAATATTAATCACATGTAGATCAGATATAAAAGTTAATTCTATAACCAATAAATAATTTTCTCCTCTCAAGTTAATTTTTTTTCCTGTATGCTTATCTCAATATTTATTGATAGTTTGTGATTGTTGAATTTTTTTTATCAAATAAATGTTTGTTGCTGAATAAGAAAATTAACTATAGTTAAAAAATTTAGTAATATTATTTAAAATAATAAACGATTTTCATATTTAACTTCATCTAAATAACTTCGATAACCTTACTTTATAGAAGTTGTAACTTCGATGAAATAATTTATAGAAGTTATAACTTCGATAAACATGCTAACTTCGATACGACATATACATTAGAAACATTTATTTTGGATCAATTGAAAAATAAAGAATTAGTTGAAAAATGGTCAAAAAATAAAACTGGTCGTCGACTTCAGTTTGTTTAAGCTATATTTGTTTTTTTACCTTTTGCAATATTTTTAATTAAATACATGAATGAACAATAAATATTATTATTTTAATTCCTTACATTTTAACAGTGTAGACTGAATTTCTAGCAGTTTATATTTTTTTTGAATTTTCTCCCATTTTCACCCCCCCTCCCCTCCCCCACCTGCTCTCATTACTTCGCGCCGCCCCTGTCTATACCAAACGCTAGCCATATCTTTCAATTCTCTCTTCTTTGAGAAATTCAATAACAACATATTTTATATGCGATCTGCAGTACCACGTTGAATTTGATATCATTGATGCCTCATGATAGTGTTTGTTGAAAATTTCTTCAATAGTGCTTTTTAAACATTGCTGTGATCATTAGATAGCATTAACAGATCTTACAGAATGCATCTGACGAATAAATACTATTCACGTTATCACAATACTACGATATCTAACGTGCCCTTGAACGTTCGCCATTACATCACATCATTACAATGTCGATTACATACAATTCACCAAGCCTTTAGTATTAAATCGACGAGTATAACTAAGCAATAACTGAGCCATCAGTTTGACACATATCGATGAATACAAAAAGCATTATTCACAAGTAAATGAAGCTTGCTATTGAACATTGTTATGATGTCTTCTAAAGTTTGATGTAGACAAATAAATATAATATACATCCTATTGAAGAATATGTAAAATAAATTTAAATTCATTTAAATCGACTATTAATTCTTGGAAATTTGAATTTAATATAAATTAACAGGATATCACCACTCTTAATTACCACCTCACATACTGACGATGAATCTTTAGATAGTGGGATAAAAACCATCTCGATGATGACGAATGTGAAATTTATACAATTTTTTAACGTCATATTCTTCCACTATTTTCTTATTTTTGTGTGGAAAACTGCTCGTCATTATCGCTACACACTGATGATGTACGTTTAAGCAATGGGATAAAAACCATTTCGATGATGACGAATGGGAAATTTATACAATTTTTTAACGCCATATTCTTCTACTATTTTCTTATTTTTGTGTGGGAAACTGCTCATCATTATCGCTACACACTGATGATGTACGTTTAAGCAATGGGATAAAAGCCACCACCTGACTGATGACTAATATATGGTTGACTCACATTTTTAACGTCATATTCTCTTATATTTTGTCTATTGACGTACACAAAATTTCTCATCGCTTTCGTCGCGCATTCGACGCTCATTACGTCAAACAGTAAGATATAAATTGATATCTTCTGCCTGTCTCTCTTCATTCTCGTGTTTGTTCATTGGCATAGAAAATATATTATGTTAGCCGCTTCTTAGTGCGGTTTTGTTTCATGAAATTTTCCTTATTCTTCGATCTTGTTCTCACTCGTATTTCTATTATCCAATAGATACAAGACCGTGTCTTACCAGAGCAGACCTTATTAATACATCGCTTGTCTATTCTCTTACTAGATATTCGAACCAACATCACTCGGACCCAACTTTCTTGTTCCAGAACAACCAATTCTGCGGAATTTTTTGCAAGATACTTGTCCGAACCTAGACAGCTCAAGAGCTATCTAGGTAGCAATGGTCGATAATACATGATTGTCTATAGCAGATTTCTGCTCTCAGTTGAATTCAATGGATTTTGGGTTAAAACCAAAATAGTGTTACAACTATTGGCCATTTCAAAATAAAAATAGGGTGAGTATTTTTGGAGTAATTTTTAACAGGAACAAAATAGAGATCTTCGGCTTCCACCTTTTCAAAGAAGAGATACAACTGCATCGTATAACGTACACCAGTTTTTTTGACAAGTTTTCTCACAGTCTCTCATCAAGTTGTTAAGAGAAAAATGGAGACTTTTAAATAGGTTTATTAGGTGAATTCTTCATCAGAAACTCAGAAAAAAGTGGATTTTTTGTAGAAAATCTACCAACTGCACATAGTAAAATGTTTATAACTTGTCATTGGTTAACCCTTACAATATTAAAGTTACATGATTCATAGATGTTTATTTATTGAGTTTAATACACTCCTGAAAATTCAAATCATAAAACTTTTACATTACACAATGTTTGTTTTGGATAAACTTCATGGCACACCCTGAGAAAAATTGTCAGAAAAATCTCATATATACGATTCTATACAGTTTTATCTTATCTTTTAAATAGTAAAAATTGAAGATCTCTCTTTTGTTCCCATCAAAACTTATCCCAAAAATATCCATCCTTCTTTAACTATGAAATGAATCATAATTATCTCGATCAAACAAAGTCGAATGTTTGGAAGCTTGTTTGTTTTCATCAATAGGTTGTTTTGTACTACCGAGAAATGTTGCGAGTTAGAAGTCATACTAAAGCTTCAACATGAGCCCGAAATTCATGTTATGAGACTAGGATCCGCGATGTGGGCCGATTGAACAGGTAAAAATTTTAAAAAAAGCATTTCAAGAACATCGCATATCGGTCTCTAACAATAAACGAAGCTTTTCTTTCAGAAACATTATTGATTCATTCTAAACTCTCACGAAATACAGGAATATGGCACATATTTATCTTTGTTTTAGATAACAAATAAGATATCTATGCTAAAGCGAAAACAATGATGTGTCGTATGATACTTTTCTATTTCTTTTTCCTTTTTGGTACCGTCCTCAATGTTCAAGGGAACAACCATAATGAGTCCCACTTGAGAAGTTTAATCAGCCGAAGACTTCGTCGCGCAACCTGTTCTGATCAGAACATGTGTCTATCTAAATGGGGATATTGTGGAACGGGATCAGCTTACTGTGGTGATGGTTGTCAAGCGGGACCATGCACTGGAGGCAGTCTTGCATGTCCTGATTCGAGCATGTGTCGCTCTAAATGGGGATACTGTGGAACGGGATCAGCTTACTGTGGTGATGGTTGTCAAGCAGGTCCATGCACAGGAGGCAGTTCAGGTAATTTCACTGATAACAACGTGTTTGTCGGTATATTTTGAACATCACCTAAGCAGGTAGTTTTTAAATCCCCACGATAAGATTTGTGACTTTATACTTGCTTAGCACACATAAAAAGATCCAGGCTATTTACTACGTAGTAGTGTGATCGATCGAGTGCTTTAAGAAAAGTCAAACTCTTCGTATTTTGACCGAATTCTCTATATCAGATATGCTTTGTGAAGTTTCTTAGTAGATGATCTGCTTGACTCTGCCTGGATTAGTATTTTTGTTTTTAAAAGAAAAGCGATGAAGTCGTCTAAAGTAATGATCAGTACTTGCAAATATTATGTTGCGAACTTTTCACAATCTTGTTCCTTATCTAATTCGACTAAATATTCTACAAATTTTTATTTTGATACATCTATCGTAACAATCCGATGAATGTAGCCCAGTTCAACATGCTTAAAATCTATGATAAATTAGCATATTATATGAATGAGCATTGATTTTTCAAGAATAGTTATAATAATCTATTGCATGTTTAAAGCGAGAAAATCCTGCACAGTCAGATCAAGTTATTTTCATGTAACACATTTAGACGTTCATCTCTTTTAAAAGATCCTGCGGTTATGATTTCGATAAGGATCTTTTACTCAGTAGCATTCATTAATATCATGTTCACTTAAATTACATAAACTAGAAAGATAGTTACTGTGTATAGTACAAAGTTGTTTTGTTTAACACCCAGGGGCGGCGGAACGTTTTGAATCTAGGGTAGGCTCAATATTTTTTATAGGAGCCTTACCGACAGGTTAAAAATAGAGAGGGTAATTTTTATGCTATGCCATTCAAATAAAACACAATTAGTACTGTTTATTTCGAACTCAAGTTTTTTAATGCATAACATTAGTGCAGATCAGTGATGAGTTTGCAAATTGTGGCAAAAACTTGTATTCAAAGAGTCACTTAAACTTTTGTTTTTGATTGAATAGTGACCTTCAAATATGATCTATCGGATGCAAAATTTTTGGATCCGAAGCCAGGTTGGTAATCCTCGTACTCTCAATGCAATTTTTTAACTCCCAATCTGATAATTATTTGAAAGATACTACATTTTTTTCGATTAATTTTTCGGTGATCAGCATATCCTACACATTTTCCAAACAATTTTAACGGTAATCTCGTAATAACCAAGTTATAAGTGGCTCTTACGTGCAGCTAGAGTCCGTCAGGTCTGAATTCGAGGACTTGTACCTGGGTCCAGATCTGACTCTGGTCAACAAACAAATTTCAGATCCAAGCTCGAAGTCGATTAGATTTTGAACCTATCTGATGAGCTGCAGCTTGCAAAGAGTTTTTGATTTGTATTACTGGAAACTAGGATTATGACGACGTAGCAGTGCTCACAGAAAAGGAATCTCATTGTGAGGTTGTTCAGCGTGTTGAAAATATTTGATTGGCATCTGAGATTAACTGCAGAGAGAGGAGAGAATTTTGGACATCGTCCAGCAGATATGATTGTAAGTATCCTGTAAGGTTATTCTTCATTTGTAACAAAAAAGCATAAAATGAACTCATTGCCAATGTACGTTGAATACTTAGTCATACGAAATTTAGGTTTTTTTCCTAAAAATATTAGCAGTTACTGGTGACGACAGCAAAAATTTTCAAGCAGTAGACAAGTTTGTTAATCTGATAGAGTGACAAGCAAATGTTTGAGCCTCTCTTAGCCTATGAAACTTAAATCTTGATGAGCTTTCGCCTACTCGGGTCTAATGGCTCCGCCGCCTATGACTGACACTGACTCTGTAACAATGTGTTATCTGCCAGAAAAACTTGAAAACTAAACAATAATAGAAAAACTTTACATTTAATAGAGCCTACCAAAGCCTTAATCTGTCCAAGTTTGAGGCAAACTTTAGTATAGTCCTCCACTAAACTTGAAATCCATGTCCTGCTCTCCACATTCTTTCCTTTCTTCGGCCTCATGACAAAAATTCAAAGGGTGAGAGTGTAGGATGAGGTTTTGCCATGAGATCAAAGAGCGATAAGGATGTGGAAAGCAGGACATGGATTTCAGGTTTAGTGGGGAGTATACTAAAGTTTGCCCCAAGTTTGAGCCTACTCAAGCTTACCCTCCGCCAGCCTAGGGTAGACTTGAGCCTACCCAGCCCTAATGGCTTCACCGCCTATGGAAGAGTACTGTTCTTTAATTACTAGAAATTCAAAAGTTATTTTGAATAGAATTTTAGAACAAAAGGTAAATTATCTTATATTGAAAATAAAGAATTCGATGCAGATATAGACATCAACGAAATCAATTAGTATGTCACTGGGCACGAGTTTGTAATACATTAAATGTGGACTGACCTTGTAATAATGCGTCATCTGTCAGAAGAACATGAAAATTAACTAATATTAGAAAATTTTTACATTAAATCGAGCCTAGACAAGCCTTTATCTGTACTGGTTCGAGCCTACCCAAGCCTTTATCTGAGCCTACCCAGGCCTTTACCTGAGCCTACCCAAGCCTACCCTCCTCCAATCTAGGGTAGGCTCGTGCCTACCCAGGCCTCGTGGCTCCGCCGCCTATGTTAACACCCATACATTTGTCAACGTACAGATAGTTCAGGAAAGTTTTAGAATATTCTTCATCTTAAAGTTAATCGAATCCAAAGTTTTCAAAAGCCTGATGCTATTCGTTACTAATTCATGTCGTATATGTCCGAATGCAACACATGGATGAGTCAGTATCATACTTAGCCGCAGGATGTTTCGACTAGACTATTTCCAATAGAGGGCGAAGTCATTTTTTGAAAACAAATCTGTACATAAGATACTATTTGCTTAAAAGCGGATAATTCGCCAACTCTGAACATCATGCAAGTAATGTCAATCTCTGTCAAAATTAAAATCGATCGAATTAAACGATTATAGGCCGTTTCTGTACATTTCTATTGCAAACAAGTAGCACATTTTTGAACAAGAACTGATATTTTCTAACTGAAAGGTATACAGAGCTCGCAGGTATGTCATTTTGAAGCAAAGATTGTCTTAGATTCGCATTCGTTTCGAAAAATGAATTTGATGTTGTAGCTCAAAATGTTAAACTCGTCCAATATTTTCAAAGAATTTTGGGTTGCTGAATCAAATTTAAGAATCACTCGAAATTGAAGTGATCTTTCTAAGTTCCTAAAATAGAGTGCTCAAGAACAGTTGATCTGTATGGCTTTATGAATTTTCCGTCTGGACGAACCTCTGTTGCATACAAAAGTAGCTCAAGGTCAAGAATGATCTCAGAATCTTTCACAGGCACGAATCTGATGAGCTTCAATAATTATCTGTTTTCTTCAACTTGAAAGTCATTTTGAGCAAATTTAACTTCATTGTTGAAGAGATCATGCTCGAATGCCATTTTAATGTACCATGAATATTTGATTCTCTTTGTGAATCTCGTCAACTGACGAAAATATTCATTACTATCGAAGCTGTACAGAGCTTCTTCGTCTCATCAGAAAATATAGAATGCTTATAAAAACTTGCAGTGTAATTACTATCGTATTGCACTATGAGAGACGACAAATCTATCTTCGTCATAAACGTAAGCCTTCTCGATGTTTGCTATAGTTCTTGATGGGAACGAACAGAAGGATACTAACACGAGCGTCACTCAATGTTGTGCAGGTCGAAGTTTCACTCTACTCACTATTAGAAAAGAACTACATAGTTAAAAAACTATTTCAAATACATTCACTCTTGGCAAAAAATTCTATCACCATCTTTATTGCGAATTATTATCTAGGCAACACGGCGATCTACACATCTGGAAATTATAAATTGACATTGGTCAATAACGATCCTGGAATGAACGCTGATACAAAACAGAGATGTATCAATACATTTTTCGCCACTATGTAAGTAATATCAAACTGTCAGAATAACTCTCTTTGATTTCTGAGAAAAATGGTTCCTCTGTTGTAGGCCAAAAATGTGCGATCGATTCAATCGAAATTCATGCCAACGTGATGTTCAAATTACCATCGATCCTGGATATAGTGGAGTAGCCTATACATTGGGTCGTATCATCGTTATCAGTGCCAAGTGGCTACGTGATAATCCACAAGATACTGATGTTATCACACACGAAGGCATGCATGTAGTACAAGGCTATCCACGTTATGATCCCAGTTGGTTGGTCGAAGGCATTGCAGATTATTCACGATGGAAATATGGCATCAATAATCCTGCTGGCGGCTGGTCGTTGCCTAATTTTGTCTCCAGTCAATACTATACCAACTCATACAGAATAACTGCTCGTTTTCTCGCCTGGTGTGAAAAGTTCTATCCTAATATTGTTAATCAGCTCGATGCAGCTATGCGAAACAACGTGTATTCAGCAGATTCCTGGAAACAATTTGCTTCTGGCAAGTCAGTGGACCAGTTGTGGACCGAATACAGTAGGAATCCAAGTCTATAAACTTCTATCAAACTTAACCTTTGCCAAAGATAATAAAAATATGTTATAGGGTGAATCACTTATGTATGTATTTTTTTTCTTTCTTTTGTTCTGCTATCGTACCGAGATGACACATACGATATATATATGTCTTCTTTTTTTTCTTTTCTTTTCTTCTCTTGATATTATACAGATGTTTTCCAACTGTCCTAAGGTTTTCTCCTAGTTCGCTCATTTGTATACAGTTGTTGTTTGGAAAATAAAATAAAGATTTTATTATCAGTCAACTCGATGGAAGCTACTCGTTATCATTGATGCGCTCACCCGATCCTCGTGTCAATTCTTTATCACAAGAGAGAATTCGATCGTTATTGTTATTTTGTTTTTGTTAAAGCTTAAACATTCATATTATTATGGCACATCACGGTCAATCACCGAAATGGTGATTTCATTCCCAATTAGCAAAACTGATAATTATTCAAAAACAACTGTGCAAGAGCTTACCACCATTCAAGGAGTGCTTACGACAACAAAAAGCAGCTCCTAAGTAGGGTGTGAGGGTGAAGTGGATCTGGGTGTGGGTCAGTGAAAATGAGACACTCA